GAAAGAATCATTCTTTACCATATCAAAATTTATGTTTAATTCAACAAGGTCGGTCTCTCTCTCTCTCTCTCTCTCTCTCTCTCTCTCTCTCTCTCTCTCTCTCGTAAGAGTTATGTTATAATTTTATTATGTATTATGTCTTAGCGTTTGAGAGAATCCTCATCCTAGAGTTTTTAATAATTAAATAACGCAATATCTTTCTCTCTCTTTTATTTTAATTGTAAGTTGATCACTTTTGACCATTTTTCATGACTTTTTCCCGTTAAAATATAAAGTCAACAATCTTCGAAAACGTGAGCAATGACAATCTGACCGACAGACAATGCGGAACGAACACAGGCGCGGTTCGGCGACTAAAGCGCGGAGTGCAAAATCATCGTAGGTATCGCGGCTACGCGATATTCGCATACAATACAGCAGGCACTACATCGGGAGGACAATGGTTCTTTTTCCGTTCAAATGGGAACAAGGGTGAAGGGAGAGCAACGTGGCGTGTGGCGTTAAAGGGAGGACGGACGGCGCACGTGTACTAGGTACGCAGAAACGTAAATCATACCTCGAAATAGATTCGAACGGTCGATCGTGGATTGCGATGTTGGCGTACCATAAACGCTCGAGCACAAATCCGATTCGCTCTGAAATCTTATCTAAAGCTGAGCGTTATGCGCTAAGCCCAGCTCACGATTACGTGCGGATTAGTACTTTCAGTGTCGTTAACGGGCAATAGCAACGTTTACGAACAAGCTTTACAAATGCAACAATAATCTGCAGCTTTTCATATAATAAATAATCTAAAATCTCTCATATATATATATCTCACATACTTGACAACAGGGGAAAGATATTGGTTTTTCCAGAAATCGGAGATTTTAAGTACGCATTTGTTAATTTAATTATTTTCTACGTGATTGCGTATTCTAAAAACTTTTTATTGTATATTTCCGCAGATATAAATCAAATAAATCAAACGCAGTGATTTTATTTCATTTTATTTTATTGTTATTGCACGAGCAAGGTGACCAACAACGATGGCGATTTTCCAGATGATGCGACCTTCGTTTAAACAAAATGCTTAATCGACGGGCGGGAACGGCGTGATGAAATCGTGATCAGTACGCGCAATGCACCAGCAATCATTGCGCTCGCGATTCGTTTGCTAAACGAATTTGGAAAGAGGACAGACACGAGTATTGTCCGACGTTGCTCACGTTAAATACGTCGGTTTAATTACCTATTGAACGCTGTAAACGAAGTTTGGTCGTACATATGTTGACAATGGATTCGTTTACTCGAGCGCGTACCTACATAAATCACAGCGATGTCCGGGATTATATCTATTATGATTATGAAATTTTATCACTTTTACATTATTACGGACCTTATTAACAGGACGGAAGCTATAGTTCAGTTATATTACTGTCGTATGTTAGTAGATAGAATGAAAATTCCGATTTTCATTAAGTGTCGCTGCCATGGTTTCAATTAAAATAGGATTTTCAATTTCCTGATGGAATATCAATTAGGTACCAATTTTCCAACGACAACGTCCTACTCCCGTTTCGCTAAGGGAAAATCCTGATTTCGATTCCGCTTTAATTACATCTGCCCAACACTGATTGCCTATTATGTGCTTCTAGACGAGTCTAACAAGCTTCGAAGCTCTCTTTGCGAAGAAAGCTTTTTAGCTGCAGCATTCTCGATCTACAATCACTGCATTCGGCATCGCTTTTACATGTTTTGTATGATATCTAGCAATTTAATAAGCTACATTACATGTTACAGAAATTAATTTGATTATAATTTGAGATTCAATCTTCTATTTATTTTTCATTCATTGGTATTTTAAATTAAAAAATTGAACAACAAAGTTACATATGTATAATCTATGCAATTTAAGCTTTTTCTAAAATAATATTATTAATATTTACTGAAGTTATATAATTGGAACTTGTAAAATAAATTTCATTTTATGTTTGGAGAAAGAGAATAATATTTTAACTTTAAATATCAAAAAATTTTTAATATAAATCTACGAATATAAAATAATACGTTTTAAACTTGATAAGGATACGTTTCACTTTTAATCGTTAATGTAGAAGCAAGTCAAGTATCTTATAAGAGATTTCCATAATTCGGTGAATGAATAAAATATTGGCCGCGAGGGATCTTCCGGGGATTTTTCGCAGCAAAGATATTCATCCTAAAATCTCTTGCGCGCGATATTCTTATTTAATTCGATTTTTTAATCATCTCTTTCGTCAGATCCGACGGGATTAGTAACGACCTGAAATTCTTTATATCACGGCTGTTTTCTCGGTTTCCAATCTGCTTTCCAATCTCGCGGAACATCATTCGTCGGTGCTCACTCGAATTCCAAGGCTTCTCGATTTCATTGCCTTTAAGTTTATCGAGCGGATAGAATGTCTGTGTGTATGTGCTGTATCTATTTCGCGATCGCTTGAGCTGCAAAAATTTTATGTGGAAACCACCCATGAGACATGATATTCTAGTCTCTATAATAGCCCATCTTTGAGATGAACTTCGCAGCTTATAGGTGAGAGGCGAACATGTATAAAAATCGATCGCGTCTCTATTCGAACACAAGTGATTTTCTCGTCCTACGTATTCTTGACGATTATATTTAACGTGTATGTAATTCTTATTTGCTGCGTAATAATATAAAATTTAAATTAATGCTATCGTGAAATGATTAGTAAAATTAAAAAGAAAAATGGTATAACTGTAAAAATAAAATATTAAAGAAGTTCAAATTTTAATCGTGACTTGTAATTTACTTTCTTTATATTATTTCACGATTAATTTTTTAATTATACGTTAAAACTGTTGTCATTTTTTACTGAATAATTACTATTTTCTTCATTTTTCATTTTGCTTTTTTAAAAAAAATTGTTTAAATATCTTTTATACGTTTTATACAAATAGCTGTTATATAATAATTAACTCTTTTATAAAAAGATGCTTGTGTGTGTATGTGTAATAAGTAATCATATATGAGTATGTTCTAAAAATTGGTAAAAATGTTGTAACGTAATTTTAAAGACTTAACTTCCATTTTGGTCACAGATATAAATCGTAAAGGAGGTAAAGAGGAAACAAAAGAGAATGAGTGAGAGAAGAAGAGAATATTGCAGTCTCCTTATCGGTGAGGGGCAACACGTAGGTCTAATTAACTTCGCGTCGGTTCCAAGGATTTAATCCTGCGGAAAACTGTGCGCACCGGAAGGAGAAAACGTTAAGACTCTGCATCTTTCGCAATTCCGTGAAATCGTTCCCAGACAAATTGAAGATTTTCAAAGAACAGACGAAGTGAAGATGTAGATTTAATTTTTCCACCATCGTCGTTGCTCTGTCGCAATAAACAGTAAATTTTTCTAGTCGGAAAATAAGATTAGATATCGTGAAACACAATCGAGATTTTCAACAAAGATGCGCTCCATCTATTAGCTCTCTTTTTCTCTCTTTTGTACATTTTGCTCAAAGTAAACAAAAGTAACAACAAGATTAGATTAACTACCAAAATATTGATAACATCTTATTCCATGCGATAAAAAAAGGGGAATAGAATATAATTACTTATGAAATACTTAGAATATACATAATTAATTATGAAAAAATGAATCTCTTTATTATAGAAACAGAATAATTACATTTTACTGATTACACTGTTTATTCTATTTCGTTATAACAAAATTAATAAAGAAAACCTAGCTATATATACATATACGAGTAGAATTAGTGTAGTGATGTCTCATGTAATTTCGATAAATGCAATATTAAAAAAAAAAGAGGCAATGTATTGCAAAATTTATATCTATGATGGTTCTCTGTACTGCAGAATTTTTATACATTTTAATATTTTCCCTAAAATTTAGATCGAGTATTATGACAATAAAAGGAAAGGCATATTTTAGTAAAATATTCATTACTTTGTATAATTAATAATTAAACTATTTGCATAATTAATATTTAACATTATTAAATAGCATTCTAACTAAAGTTAGAATCTTATAATATATTTTTCAATATTCTCTTCTACAAAATAAAATATTATAACAGAAAAAAATATAAATATTAAAAAACATTTATTTTCTTTTGCTACTGCATTTTATACAAAAATATATTATAAAATAGATTACTTTTATACATTGAATTATATAGGTGATATTTAATTAGTTTGAAATAGCAAAATATTGTCTCGCGAGTAATTAGCCTTTCAACATGCATGTTATTTTACTTTTAGCGTCAACAACTGCAAAATATGACTAAATCATGAAACGACTCTTGCTGTTCGTTGACAAGTTGTTGAATCGAAGTTAAAAAAGTAATTACAATACATACGTGGATTTCACGAATTTAATATTCACTAATTTGTCCAACGTCGGTTTAAACGCAACGTGTTATTTTCGGATGGTATGCGTTTATCAAGCCGCATAATTGCTTGCATTCTCATCGCTCTTCTCTACAATTAACCATTTAATTTATCGCGACAACGAGTGAAACGTTTGAGCACAGCTATCCCGATGATGGTTACGTAAAACGGATGGACATGTTAAAGCCCGAGCAAAGGTAATTTATCGAGCACTTAGTCCCTACAGTGACGTCATTTCTCGAAGCGTGAAAGATAATCTATCATTGTGTAGCCAGACAATCGTGGATCAGGATTTGCTTTCACGATTAAAACAGTTCATTAAGGTTGAAGTAAGACGAATTACTAGTCTATAGCACATGATCAATATATTCGTCTAAGATACGATTTGACGATTAGTTGAATCATGAAATATATTTTCTGCTAGTATTTTGCCATAGATTTCTTGTGAGAATATTATAAAGTATATAAAGAGTTTCTATCGTTTCAAGAAATGTAAGCTTGAATATTAAAAAACTTTTTCTTAAATATTTTAAGAATAGTGTTTATGATTCTTATAAAATTGTTAATGTTTCGAAAACTGGGCTTCAAAAATTTCGGTGTAGATACTTACTTATATTTTTGTCCCTGTATTGCGGCCGCGCATCTCCGATAAAACAGACGAAGAGCACCCACACTACGAACCAGCACGTTCCCATTTCGACCTGAAATAAGAAGCGATTCTGAATAGATTTAATTAAGAATTCAATGGTGCGGCATACAGCACTTTAGTTTCTTTACGACTGCAATGTTACCGCAGCTTTGTTCGATCTTTTGCTCTTCGGTAAGGCTATCACAGTAATGCTACGCAGTAATAACATAAAATAATTATTATAACGAAACGGATTTAATTATGTATGAAATTAACGGTTCTCGAGTCTTTTTTTACTTAAGATAGAGTTCTTGAGAGTTTATGAAATTATTTAATTAGTTACATCAAGGTCATAGAAACATCTACTTTAAATTTCAGTTAAGGTAGAATAAAATAGAACGGGATCGATATATACGTATATAGGTATGTATATAAAGCAAGTTTGTTCACAATAAATTCTGGTCGCTTTTGCGTGCTCGGAAGGAGTGTCGTCGTTTCCTTACGAAAACTTATCGTTTCCCCGTGCATTTCTTCCGATTCATTATTGTTCTTGCGGCGAAATTGCTCCGTCCAAAAGGATGAGCATTTTAATTCATAAAAGTTCTATTATTGTACAATTTAAAGTGACTGAAATATACAGGATGTCTTTGACGCAATAATATCGCTTAATTTCCATTACTTTTAACACAATAAGTCTTTGGTAATGTATATCTTTGATAACTTTTTTTATACAGATTGTCATTCTGCAATTTCATGCAATTTTAATTTTACCGTTTGAGTAAATATATTCGCTTGCGTTCTCTAGTTCGGGGAGAAGATCGATGGTTGTATTCGCACGTTTCTATAACTGCGTCGGATCATCGATCCACCTCGTAATCGCTGAAGGGATAATGCTCCTCAACCATCGAAACCGGAGACGATCCTTTGTGGCAATTGCGCGGATAATCGAAAACCGAGAGAAAGAGACGAAGTGTAGGATTCGCTGCGGTGAAGCACGGTTGAATATTTCCGGGTTTCCGACGGGCGTGCACGGAGATGTTATAAAATATTTCTTTGAGGATTTCGACTGTGGAGATATATATTTTATTCGACAAGCGTTTCTGCACAGCACGTATTCGGATCTCTACGTCAGTTTCCATGAATATTATTCGCGCACTGTGCGCAGAAAAGTTCTCTTCGCGTGAGGTGACGACAACGACGCCATGAAATTAACGGGATTTCGTTGTCACGATAATACCAGCGTGCTTCTGCGTACACATTTTATCTTTATTTTCGAAAGAAGCGCGCCAAATTCGTTCTCGTCTCGTTTCGCGACGTAATACCGGAACGTCAACTCGAAAACGTCAATCGTTTCCAGACGGCTGAAATCGCCCAGCAAATTGCTGAGGCAAAGATATAAAAACTACCAGCTGACATTAACGATCACGTTGGATTTAATAAAAATTATTTCCACGCCTTGCTATTCATACTTGTATTAAGATATTTGTCGGAATATATTTTCATTTTTGAAAAAAACACATTATTATTAAAAATTGTATTGCGTTAATATTTTATTTAAATCTGATCTTATCTGCAATCTATATATTGTATTTAATTTGAATAGGGATTAATGTATAATTTTCCTTAAATAATAATAATTTTCCTTAAAAATATAATAAGATCAAAGACACACGTATTGTTATTGACGTTTTTGGAAAACGTGCAGTCGTTCTTGCCCTTCTCGTCTTTCACCAACTCACATACATTTCTTGAAGGAGCGAGCCAGAGTGTGTCCGAAGGATAGACATCTCCTTGCCCGAACAGTAGTGAGTATGTATCCTTTTCGAAGGCTTATCTATCGGAAGAGATGCCCTTTCCAGGGAAATCCCTAGAGGAACAATATAAAAGTTCCTACTCTCCCTCGAAAGGACATCGTCTAGTACTCGGAGTGCAGATCCTCTTCTCGGCCCCAGGATCATCTCGACCAAGAGTACACGAATACATGTGACCTCGCGTACGCACGTACATTTACACGCGTCTAACGACAAAATGACACTCGCACGCGAAGTGGTAACTTCTACCTTCGACGATCCTTCGAACCTTCCATCGATCACTATATACCTGTCGGGGTCAACTTCTTCACGTATCTCGTTTCATGGTTAGCTGGCTCGAAAATATTCCCCATCCCTTTTCATTGCGACGGAAGGAAAAGGGTGACTCTAGTGCCGTCGTCGAGACGCGAAATTTAGAACCCGTTCTACGGAGGTAAATAAAACGTATTTTCGGGTCGTCGGATCATTGAGTTTCTGAATCCCTGAATTCGCTGATCCCAGGATTACTTCTCTCGTCTTCAATAAAATACGTACGTGCGAATCATTGTATAGCGATCAACTTCTTGAGAATGAAATAACGCTATCCTAATCATCCAAATATATTCGCATTTGAATTATTTAACGAGTTTAACTCTAAATAAGGTAGTGTGATTCTTCACTCTATTTACTTAACATAAAGATTTCAATCAATATTCTATCACAAATTAAAAATATCCTAATAAAAAAAAGATAAGAGGAATTTAATAAATAATAATTTTTGATATAGAGATAATAGGGTATGTTAAGTTAGCACCCCAACTATAGTACTCAGGAGTTCTGATTAGAGTTCCTACTTCCTTTTGACGAGACGAAGAGTTCCCTATAGTTAATAACAAGAGTTCCGCTCAATAAACATTTCTTTTACATTTTTTAAAAATGGGGTGCTAACTTTTCATCGAATTTCGAGGTGGAATAGTTCTGAGCGGCTTAATAGCTTCAATTTGCGATTGCCTAGAGTTCCTGATAAGTAAAAAAAATTTTCGAATAATAAAAAAAAAATTAAAAATTTTTGAAAAATTAATTTTTAGATACAATAGTTCTGATGATAATTTCTGCTTCTTTTTGACGATACGAAGAGTTCTCCATGATTTTTAATGACATATGCGCTTAATAATCATTTTTTAATAATTTTTTTAAAATGGGGTGCTAACTTTTTAATGAAATTCAAGGTCGCATAGTTCTGATTAGCTTAACAGAATTATTTTGTGAATACCCAGAGTTCTTGATATATAAAAAACATTTTTGAAATATAATAAAGTTTTAAAAAAATAGTGGAAATCTTTAAAAATTTTTTTGGGAGTACCGAGTAGTTCTGAGTAGCGTTTCTTATAGTACTCGACGAGTTCTATCGAAAACTGTAAGGTGAAATAGCGATTGGACCAACGGTTTGCAAGATACAGCGACATTTGTCAGAAGATCAACAATTTTTAGAGTATATCTCGGAAACCGTTGATCCAATCGCTTTGAGCCCTGATACTTTTCGACAGAACTCGCCGAGAACCGTCCAGAACTCCGATCAGAACTACTCGGTACTCCCAAAAAATTTTGATTTCAAATTTTTTTCTAAATCCCACGTCGAAAAGTTTTTTGAGAGTACCGAATAGTTCTGAGTAGCGTTTCTTATAGTTCTCGACGAGTTCTATCGAAAACTGTAAGGTGAAATAGCGATTGGACCAACGGTTTGCAAGATACAGCGACATTTGTCAGAAGATCAACAATTTTTAGAGTATATCTCGGAAACCGTTGATCCAATCGCTTTGAGCCCTGATACTTTTCGACAGAACTCGCCGAGAACCGTCCAGAACTCCGATCAGAACTACTCGGTACTCTCAAAAAAATTTTCAAAGGTTTCTACTATTTTTTTAAACTTTATTATTCTTCAAAAATGTTTTTTATGTATCAAGAACTCTAGGTATTCACAAAATACTTCTGTTAAGCTGATCAGAACTATGCGACCTTGAATTTCGTTAAAAAGTTAGCACCCAATTTTTTAAAAATTATTAAAAAATGATTATTAAGCGTATATATCATTAAAAATCATAGAGAACTCTTCGTATCGTCAAAAAGAAGCAGAAATTATCATCAGAACTATTGTATCTAAAAATTAATTTTTCAAAAATTTTTAATTTTTTTTTTAATATTCGAACATTTTTTTTACATATCAGGAACTCTAGGCAATCGCAAATTGAAGCTATTAAGCCGCTCAGAACTATTCCACCTCGAAATTCGATAAAAAGTTAGCACCCCATTTTTAAAAAATGTAAAAAAAATGTTTATTGAGCGGAACTCTTGTTATTAACTATAGGGAACTCTTCGTCTCGTCAAAAGGAAGTGGGAACTCTAATCAGAACTCCTGAGTAGTTGGGGTGTTAACTTAACATACCGGAGATAATTAAGCAGCGTTATCTTCTTACCATTTTTTTAGAAGTTTTATATATACATATGTATGATATAAAAAGAGAGAGAGAGAGACCTCTTAATAAAAAAATTACAAATTTAATTGCAAATAAGAGTCTTCAAAGGATAGAATAAAAGATCAAGCGTGCTTGAATTGTATAAATCTCGAATGAAAACAAATGAAGAACAAAGGAAGTGAAGCGCTGCCAATAAAGTCGACAAAACTAAAAAGATTTGCGAGACGAATTTCCGCAACCTTACTATGTCCAGCTGAGTAATAATTAGAGCTCTTCGTCACTGAGGTGCAGTAGACCAATCGGTTACTTCTACAAGAAAACCTTCCGATCGAACAAACTTCCTTTGCTAAGCAACTCTCTAGAGATTAAACTAGACCTCCATTCACATTGCAAAGAAATGTACTTTCTTGAGGAATGAGAAATGATGATATACACACAACCTACTAGATATATGTATTTATATTTGCAGTTAAAAGCAACTATATTAAAAAGTTCCTTTAAATACGGTATTTATACTATAAATACGATACTTATATACTATATGTAAGATAACATTTAAAATATTAAAAAATAAATATGAAAATTGGAAATATAAAAGAATTTAAAATCCGATTTTTTAATAAAAACATTGATAATATTTCCGATTCAATTTGAAATATTTTTAACACGATGTTGATCGTAAAATATAAATTCATAGCTTGATTTTAATTCGATTATGAATCGGTTTTTTATATTATATGAAATTACTAAAAGATCTATTGTATAATTAATGTAATAACATGATATTAATTATTCTTAAATCA